AATGTACATACGTAGTTTATTCTTTCATTTTAGGCCTATTTTTGATTTCCCACCAATATGAATAAGCATCAACTAACAGTGAGTAATTATGCTTTTGTTTACTATAAGAGTCCTAATTATAATAGTTAAGTTTTTGTAAAATAAGACAATCCCTTAATTACATAATATCATCTCTCTCTCTCATTTACTTTTCTTATTAGGAATTTGAAGATTATATCATTTATAATTTTTCCTGACCAACGAACCCTTTAAGTCTGAATTATACTTAAGAAACTTACTTTATAAGCCCACAGAAACTTCAGCTTAGTCTGAGTTACTGATCATGCCATTAAGTAAGTACAATAAGAGCCCAATTTAATAGTTTCATTTGGTGTACTTGACCTCTTCAAATGGAAGAGAACTCTTATGAATCACAGTTCCATCCAACGCCCTGTTTGAAGATCTGCATATATGAAATTTCTATAGCGTAGAAATACAAATAGAAAAGGAACATCACAAATTACGAGTCCGTTATTGTGAAGTGATTGGCATAAAGTTCTATTGTGTTAAGTGGCAGTAAGCAGGCATTTGTTTGCTGGTGTTGATAACCTCCATTAAGACGCGCCGGAATTTGCAACCTCTTCTCAACAATGGCGCCTGATCCATTTTTTTTAAAAAGAGGTTTCCGACCCGATAACTTTATTCTTCCATCCTCCCCTTCAACCGGAGTGCGAAAGGCCCAGAGTAGGGATGTCGCTTGAGGGTACGAACATATAAAGCGAGACCTCGAATCAACAAAAGCCTTTTGTACATGTCTTGTCAATGTCCCAGAAGCAAATCCTCATACAAAATCAGTTCAAACTTGCCAGTCTATTAAAGAAATTACTCAAATAATACACTGGAATATCCGCATATGAATTAAACAAAGAGTGAATATCAGCCAGCCTTGATTAAATGTCTTTGTTGTTTTATGTTTCTGTTATGAGATATGCAAATGATGGATGACATGAAGTATTGATTTAAGAATTTAAATAGGTTAAAAAAATGAATTCAGTGCCCTGATAAGACACATTTTATGTAAATATATTAGGACGATGTTTGTTCTCAAAATATGTAATATTTTTCATTCTCGGATTCTTCTGAAAGAAAGGGATCAGATGAAGGAATTAGGTATAGACATGATGATAATATAAGTATTTGATGAATAATGTATGAAGCTGTGAACTGGATTCATTCTGAGTCACGGTAGGGTTCAATGGTGTATTTTGAACCTGTTTTGAACCTCCATGTTCTAAAATGGAACCCCATGGTCTCTATCGCCTCCTCATAATATGAGGTCCTTATTTTACACTAAGCTACATGCATTGGTTTGCAACTTAGAAACGCAACGTGGAAGAAAAGAATTTTAAAATGCGATACGGAAATGGCAGTGTGAAATTGGCTAAAATTAAGGACTCTGTATTTTACTCAAAGGCGTCGAAATACTTCTCACACAATGCGACAGATGTTTGAATCTGTTAGGAGATTTTGTAGAAAAGTGGTTTGTTTTAATATAGTAAGTACTTGAAACTTGCTTCCTAAAGGTAATTTGTACGTATTTTTAACATACACGTAATTAAGGATCCCCATAAACTGCTTCTGAAGAACTTATAATGACAATTTTTTTGCCAATACAATTTTTTAAATCACACCTTTGGAAGAGGCTCGAATCGTTCAATGACGTGCCTCCATTTGCACTGGTTGCACAGCGTTGATTGGTAGCACGGTTCTGAATAATTTTAAAACAGTTGTGGCTTCCTTAGATGCTATAATCACGTGTCTGACGGAACGGAAGAAAACTGATATAAAGAACAGTTAGGATAGCAGGAAATCCCGCGTGGAGGCGAGTTAGAATACTTCCACCGCAGCTCTGCGGGACGCAAAAAGCGACGAAAAGGAACCCCGATGTCATGGAGTGTAACTGGGTCACCCTGTCAACGGGGGACATAGAGACAGCTCATCCTCCAGGTTAGGGGTTGAACGCAAAGCTGAAGACCTTGCTCTATAAAATTCATTGTTGCGGAAACCAAAGAAGAGGAACCCGGGTACTGAAATTTAAGACAAGTCTGGCAGAATCTCCTAAGGAAGAGTAGGATAGAATGAGTTCAGGCTCCGAGTCGAACCCTTGATTCCCCGAATATGGAATATAAATATTTAAATAATAAATCACTGTTTTCAGTCAAAGTAGTAAGAATTGTAATGCTTATAATTAATACACCATTTATTGTATTTGGATGTCGCTTGCATTTGCGTGCCAGTAATTCTCTAGGTTTGTATTCGGAAATATCCGCTTCGAATCTCGGCCACGTTACCGGCAGTTGCGCGACATTTTCGGTTTCCTTAGCTTTGCCGGAATAACACCGACCTAATACTCACTGCTGCCTCCTGCCAAATCTTTATTTTCTTACTGTGCATAATTATGCTACCGTCGTGTAGCGTACATGCGTATATACGTAAGTTCAGCGTTTGAAACAGCGTCATGAATTAACCCGAGATTATAGTCATAATCGGCAGATTCCGGCTTCGGCCCGGAAATTAATTGGCCCGACTGATGGGTTTCGTAGGTCTCCTTTGACGCGAACCATTTCGTTTAGTGAGGGTTGGAGTCCAACTTGGTCCACTCGGCACGGCGGCCACTGATTGGCCTATTGTACATGCCCCGGGTGATTATGATGATGGAGAATTTGGTGGAATGAAGATTGGCAGAGGAAACCGAAATACTCGGAGAAAACCCGCCCCAGCCCCACTTTGTTCACCAGAAATCCCACTTGACCAGACCCGGGATCGAACCCGGGCCGCCGCTGTTGGAAGCCAGCGACTAACCGTTTGAGCTATGGCGCGGCTAAGAGACGCGGACCATTGGTTGAGCAGCACTACTTTTTAAAGTGAATGTGTTAAGTCACAGACCTGATTCAGAGGCACCCTGTTCCATTAAAAAGACCAAGTTGCCTCTATGCTCAACGAATTAAGCACTACGCCATGAAGGTGTATGGAGGAGTGGATGTATAGATCCACATTTTCTTGACCTCGGCACTAGTTGGAGGTGAGTGGTCAGTTTCACGCCCCTGCCGCTTTACTCCCTGGTACCCATTGGATGAGAGGTTGGGTGGACCCCAGAGCATGTCTGGACGGTTTGGAGAAGAGAAAAATTCTTGACCCTACCGAGACTCGAACCCCAACCCCTCAGTCGTCCAGCCTGTAGCTAGTCGCTATACCGACCACACTACCTCGGCTCACCCTGTCCCATTTGAAGAAGTTATTTTCCATTCAGACTTATGTAAGTGTGTACAATATTGACGAGTTTATTCATGTCTGCTAAGATCCCTGTTACTTTGTGATGTTTGCCAATATATTTTGACTTATGAGACCACTCGGTTTCTCCTGGCAAAGGAGGCTTGAACATGTCACAGAATGTCGTGGGGTTTGCAAAGCGACCCAGGAGAACTATTGAAATGAAGAAAGTTTGACAGAATAAATGGAAACTCTCTTCACCGGCAGTCCACTCAAGTCTGGTGCACAGATGAGTAAGAGATTCAGAATATGGAGCCGGAAGTTGCTTCCATCCAAATTTACAGTCACAGTGAACCTCCAACTTGACGCTATGTAACCTGTGCAGTTAACAGTACATCGTAAAATTGAGCGAGAATGATTTATGTTTGTTTCAGTAACGGAATTGTAGACCGCCTGGATGAAGGCAGCCAACCACCAGTGAGAAACCACGTGCTATCACCTGAAGACAACATAAACGTGGTCGTCAGGTGAGACCTAACCTCTCATTGCAGTCGGTGAGTCTAGTTTTTGACCAGTGATGAATTCTGTTCTACAAAAAGGTCGTACGGAAATACAACAGCACGGCCAGCAGTACTAGTAACACCGAATTTACCCTCTCTTTCGTTTCATAGCTGCACATGCGCGAAATAAAACTTTCGGGATCTTACTCGAGCGGTGAATCCAGTCACTTCCATGACACGAAGATACGAAGCTAAGAAAGGTTTTGGCGTATAAGCTACTTGACATATACAGCGGATTCCAAGCAAAACAGATAACAGTTTTTTTTAATGAACATAATAAACTATATTTTTGTGTAACAGTTTCCTTCAATTTTAATGATCTGATTGTATACTACTAGCGAGACCGGAGCTGTAACTGTTGCTGGATACTGGCTTCTAACAGGACTCTCGGACTCGTGAGCAGTCATAGGCACCTTATCAAAGTGGGGAAAGCGGAATATCTTGACAGAGTACGATATTCAAATTTTAATTGTTACATAATAAATTGTGTTCATTAGAATTAATATATAATGAATTAACCATTTGTGCGGAGGTTTGTAAATTAAAGGTCTAAGCATTAAAGAATAATAGAAATTATATGAACCATCCAATTTAAGAGCAAGATATGCTGCATTTTGCCTACAGGTTGTATTTGTGACTTTCGTGTGATTCTAAGACTAAAGAACAGTTTTCTCCGTAAACTGCATTAACCACTTTGTGTTTATAATAGTTTGTAATATTAGGTCCCAGGCAAAACGGCGCAAGAAAAAAGTACGTAAGAGTTGTAGAGGCCAGGCCAGATACAGGATTGAATTTAAGCCGGTCAAATATATCTTCGAGACTATTTTATAATTTGATGAGTACAGCTTCAGACATATTAAATAAGCAGTCGTGAACGGCCAATGTTTCAGGTGAGGGTCGAACGTAGGGTTACAAACCTTCAAAGTAAAATGTTACAAATTTTTTAAAGAATTCATCATCTTCTTGACGTTGTCGGCATTGAACTTTCGCCTCCTGCAATCGCACTTAACAAATTTGTTTGTCATACGTGTAATTCAAAATAATTGGTTTTGCCTTAGTAAAGAAGGTAGAAGGACTTCACAGATAGTATTTCGATCGTATGTTTCGCAATTGCGGTGAAATATCCTGTAATTTTCAGAACGGTCGCTGTAAATGTATGTTTTGAATGTGAGGACCGCATAAAGCGATAGCCTGATACATAAGAGCGTTGCATGACACGGCTCTGTATGTCACACGCATGTTTGTCACAGACATGCTGCTATAATACGGAAACATTATTGACTCTTTCTCTTCATGGTCTTTTTCTGCAGAGTTCGACCACTGAATAACAAGGAGGTGAAAAATGGCGACGAATCAGTCGTCCAGTATCCAGGGAACGGACAGATTTTGGTAAGAAGATATTTGGTTTTGTTTCGCGTGTACGTTTTCATGCGTTTCCTATTCAGTACGGCTTGAAATAAAGAGACGCTTCAAGGATATTGATTTTTAACTTCCATTTATAAATGATATTAGTCTGTTAGAGCCTGCTTACGCTGATTCCTAGCTCGCGGATTTTCTTCTTTTTTCTTCTACCCTGAAGATGGAGGCGATACATTCCTCCGAAACATCGGTTAACACTATCTACACCGAGCCACATCCCAGAAGACTGCTTTCTTCGATATTAGGAAAGCTCAAGAAAAACAGATTTGAATGCAAAACGACGTTATCTGGTCTTGACAGATTATGTTATTGTATTTTGTAAGATTTGAGTTTTTAAAGGCAGTGACTATGAAGAATGCCATATTCTGGGATGTGGTGCCGTGTAGATATTGTGTTAACCGATGTTTCGGAGGAAAGTATCGCCTCCATCTTCAGGATATAAGAAATCCGCGAGCGAGGAACCAGCGTGAGCAGGTGGCTGCAGACTGCAGACGTCGGTTAACACAAGATCTACACGTCGCCATATCCCAGAAGACGGCATTCTTTATGTTAATTTATTATGCGAAAACCTAAAGAAGAAAATAAAAATTATTAGAAGTTTCTAAGGAAATTTGCCTAAATATAAGTGGAGAAAGAAATCTTTGTATACCATCTGGCTACTTCTAAGAAATTTCCCCACTAAATTAGGTAATATATTCTGACCCAACTTCATTCACCTTCTATCTTGGTAACTAATTTCCTTTACACTATCCTAATGATATGTTCACGTTTTCCTCTCAGTTCTCAAATAGCGACTTTAAAACAGGATATTCCAGCAGCATTCTCTATGCTTTTCCTGCCTTTCCTGTCTGAGACAATGCCCTTTCTATTGCACCCTCCTCGACTTCACTTCGATACTAGAATACCTTCATAAATTACTTGGTTCCCTCATATGCAGTACCACGTAATTGCTCGTTTTCTTTGGCCGTCTTAGGTTCTTATATTTGTCTAGCCGTTTAATTCCCAGACATTTATAATATACGTATGTTTCGTAACCACTGGCAAAGTAATTGTCTCAGATCTGGATTCTTTTGGAAAGTGCAAGGTACAGAAAGCACAGCAGTTAGCGCAACTGGAGGGATGTGCTTACCCATTTCCTCCCTCTTTCCTTCCAGCTCGGTCCTGTGGGTGCTGGTCACCCCAAGCCCAGAGTGTTCTCTTATAACGTGGTGTTTGAACCCGGGGCCACTCAAGAAGACGTTCTACAGTTCTCTGGAATCAAGCGTCTCATCGAGATGGCCGTAGAAGGCTTCAGCACCACGGCGTTCTGCTACGGGCAGACCGGAAGCGGAAAGACGCACACACTCACTGGACCTCCGGGACTGGTAAGCAGTCTCAGTGTTCCGTTCTCTTGTCGGATATTTTGCATAGCGTCGCCGATTCTTGACGGAGAGTACTAATTATCAGCAAATTGTACGTATTGCTCGTGAAACAAAATTACTGCAATGAAGGTAAATATTCCGAAGATAATTATGCAAATGTATTACTGAATATCAGATTAAAAATAGTTGTATACCGTTTTATACAGGGCCGAGCCATAGCTCAAGCGGTTAGTCGCTGGTTTCCCACCGTGGCGGCCCGGGTTCGATCCCGGATGTGGTCAAGTGGGTTTTGTGGTGGACAAAGTGGCTCTGGGGCAGGCTTGCTCCGAGTATTTCGGTTTCCCCTGCCAATCTTCATTCCACCAATTGCTCCACAGTCACCCTCACCTATCATCTGGGGCTGGTACAATAGGCCAGAAGCGGCAGCAGTACAAGGGACTTAGTCCCACTAGCAATAAAAATACAATTTTATTAAACTTTTAAAATTTCACAATCGTTAAACTTTAGAAGTTGAAACAAGTGGTCACTTTTATGCGTCAAATTTTCGTTTCGGAAACAAAGGAAATTTGAAATACCCCTCTCCTGTGTAAGTTATCTATAGGATTTTCGAAAGGAATATTCAGGCCTAGGGTTTTTATTTCATTTTGCCCAATAACGACTTTGTATCTCTGAATTTATTTACGAATTTATGACTGTTTAACTGCGACATTCTGAAATGTATGTCTGCATCTTCTATTTTTCTTATGCAACTTATTTTCACACCTCAGTAAGCTATTTTATATGGACACTAATTGCTTCGATGTGTAATTAATTAATTTGTACCTGCCCAAGGTGATTATGATGATGGAGAATTTGGTGGAATGAAGATTGGCAGGGGAAACCGAAATAGTCGGAGAAAACCAGCCCCAGCGCACTTTGTCCACTACAAATCTCACTTGACCAGACCCGGGATCGAACCCGGGCCGCCGCGGTGAGAAGCCAGCGACTAACCGCTTGAGCTATGGCGCGGCCTGCTTCGATGTGTAACTCACACGTAACATTTTGAAGTAGGAGGTAACTCAACTGAGTCATGACTGCTTTTCGCACAACCCAAATACAGTAGCATCAGCAACATGAGGCTTGTGGCTGAAGGGTGCCGGCGCATACTGCACAGGCTCGCTTTAAGGTAGCCGCTGAACGATTTATTTGGTCCATATTGAAGAGAAACTCTAATATGTACAGACTATTGGTTTATCGACCACGTCAGGGTCCGAATGTGAGCGAAAAATCTGACGCAAATAGGGTGTGAACCTACCGCCTGAACGGCCGAACGATTTTCAGAATTCTCTCAAATGACCTTCTCGTGTTCGGTGAATAATGCAGATTATGAAACTCCACGTTTTTCAATATTCTGTAAGATCCGTTTAATTCTTCCCTTTTGGTTCGAAACATTTTGCTCAGTAACCTGGTCTGAAACGTCTTCAATCTGTGTTATTCTCTTAATTAACAAATCTAAATATTTACTTTTTATTACAGAGTTTTGATGCTGTAACTAAAGTGCATTATTTTCGAATAATATGACAATTTTATGGAAGTATGTTCAGTTTAAGAAGATGTCCTACTATTGAACTTGGTGATTTAGAGGTAATGTTCTGGGCTTGTATTTCGGAGGTGCTCGGATAGAATCTCAGTTGTGGTTTCAACTATTGTGACCGACGTTTTCCGTAGTGTTCCTCAGTCCCTCGAGGAAAATTCCGGAAGAATTTCTATCAGGCAACGAACGCTTCATCCGAATGCTTCCCAATTTACCAGCCGATGCTAGAGATTCTCAGCACTGAAAGCGTCATTACAGAAACCACAAAAAGAAAGGATCTGCTTTTGGCTATAGGGTATGCTGCCTGATTGTATGATTTTTTCTTGCAGTTCGAGAAGAACCCAGATCCATACTCGGAGGACCACGGCCTCGTTTTCCGCTCCTTCATGTACCTGTTTGAACTGTTAAAACAACGGAGCGAATTCCACTTCATACTGAAGGCTTCCTTCTTAGAAATATACAACGAAAAGGTAATATTCATGCGAGTTTCATAATACAACGTTACTGCCTACTTTGGGCCGCGCCATAGCTCAAGCGGTTAGTCGCTGGCTTCCCACGGCGGTGGACCGGGTTCGATCCCGGGTCTGGTCAAGTGGGATTTGTGGTGGACAAAGTGGCGCTGGGGAAGGTTTTCTCCGAGTACTTCGGTTTCCCCTGCCAATCTTCATTCCACCAATTGCTGCACAATCACCCTCACCTATCATCTGGGGCTGGCACAATAGACCAGAAGTGGCCGCAGTACAAGGGACTTAATCCCACTAGCAATACAAAAACTGTATATCCATACGGTGTTCAGGTCTAGTCTCTTGTGCTTTATTTCGGATTACTTAGAGCTTGATTTTCTAAGCCAGGCCATGCATCCTGCTTACCTGAGCGCACTTCTCGTTAGTTCTGTATCTGCAGGACGATGCTTAAGTCTCTATTATTTTCAGGCTGCTCATACTTTTCTTATTTTCTGAAATTCAGTGACAATGTTTTTAGTATTCGTCAAAATTTGGTTTCTTTCTCTCCTCCCCGCATAAACGATTAATAACCCGTCCAAAAATACTAACATTCCCTTTTTAATCGTGTTCATGTCTCTTAAAATTGCTACCATATTTCTGTCTGCATAGTCTGATACACCCCGCGTTCTCGTTTCCAGGATATTCACGCATTTGTCTTGACACGTATTGTAATACTGCTTTCTACTTCATGATTATAGTCCCCTTTTTCTTTCAATATATCTCCCTCTCAGAATGCAGTATTCGCATGTGTGAACTGACATGAATACTGGGATGTGTTCCGGGTGTTACTCCCCGCAGCCGTTAGCTTCTTTAAGCATTGTTGCATGTAACATAGAGCAGGGGTCTCCAAACTTTTCGAACCGCGGGCCACATTAGGTAATTCAGCACTTTCAACGGGCCGGATACAATGAGAAATTAATAACTCTAGGTATATGAGTTTTATTGAAAGCACAGAATTTCATAGACTAAATACAAAGTACGTGAGAATAAATTATCGTATATTAATGACAACAGACAGTAGCAGCAAATGCTCATATTTTCATCACAAATTATAATAAAACAATTAATGCGAATGGTGGAACTCTTTTTGCACTCTTAAAATCTGATTAAATTGAGGTTCAAATTTTTAAAGGCTAATCACAAAGTAGCGACTTTAAATGTTCATCGGATAAATGTGCCCTGTATTTCGACTTGATGTACTTCATCTGGGAAAAAGTTTGTTCACACAGATATGTCGTCCCAAAAATGGAGATAAATTTAGAAGCAAATTTCTTTAAATTTGGAAATTGCTCAGAGTTCAGAAATTTATAAAATTCGATCAAATTTCCTTCCTTGTATTTGTCTTTAATATGATAATTTTCCTGAAGTTCAATAATTTCCATTTGAATTTGACTTGGGACATCTGCAGCATCACAGTCAAACGGATTTTGAAACAATCTAATTTCCTGAGCACTGGAATCCAAATCAACAAATCGCTTCCGAAATTGTTCTTTCAAACCTGAAATGACTAAATTTGCAAACGAGGAAGGAAATTCTGCTTCACCCTCTTTATTTAACTCCGCAGAGTATAGCATATGAACAAAGTTATAATTTTTGACTTGGCTTTCCAGAAGTATCAACTTTGCTCTGAATGCCTTGATAAGTGCAAATAAATCACAGACTAAGTTATTTTCACCCTGCAACTTTAAATTCAAATGGTTCATATGGTTCACCAGATCAGCAAAAATTGCTAATTACCAAAGCCACTCGGTATCTGATAAAAGTGGTTCGTGATGGTTTTTCTCGGTAAGAAATATATCAATTTCATTCCTTAGCTGAAAGAAGCGCGAAAGAACCTTCCACAACTAAGCCACGAACTGCAGTATAATATGTCACGTCAATAAGCTCGCAATCACATTTACCAGTACTCACTGGAGAATTAGTTCAATTGGCGCATTTCTGCACAATTCTTTCGCGGGCCGTAGTTTGGAGACCCTTGCTTTAAAGTATTGCATTTCGTAGAAAGCAACACTATCACTTACGAGTTATACAAATTGTTTTCTTTTGCGAGGTACAACTTTCAAGATTTACTCTAACTACCTAAAACTCAATGAAGTCTAAATTAATGAAGCGACAACGTCTGGAAATGTATTTGCCTGCCTGTATGTCCGCATATGTATTCTACGGAACTAAACAGCTGATTTATATTAAATTTGATATTCAGGTCTGTCACAATGAGACATAAATAAAACGTTGCCATTTTTCTCAAGTGGTGATCAACATAGAAAACATTGGTACGTCACATGAAACGTATATTTAACAAAATTCTACTACTCTTATTTGAAATATTAGTCAATGCAATGTATACTTAACTGATACAAATAAAATCATTTACGTCACGTGCGAAAAGTTACATGTGTTATTGTAATTATTACATCCTCGACGACATGATTTTATCCGAAATGAAACTAACTTCAAGGTCAATGGACTATGCAAGATAGGAAAGAACTAATTTTTTAAAACCACGCACAAACAATGCAAGGAAAGACATGAAGCATCAACTGACTATGCATTGAAGGAATTATGGATCGCTTGTCATTATTGTGACATGACGCCTGAAAGTCACAATAGTGGAGCCAGAGCCAGGTGACCATTGCTAGACAACGGCTGGGTAACCACAACAACGAATTCGACGGAGGAAGCAGTGCATTGCATAGAGAGACGCCGACTCCTAAGTATCGCATACAAGAACGTTTCCGTGCAACAGACAGGTAAAGGTTGTTCACATGAGAACGAACTGGTCATAACACAGTAACGGCTAGGAACGCGATAAATCTACTGTTGAAGGAGGTGATTTCTAGATCATCCGACTAGTGAAGATAACAGACCGTAGACAGCGAGTCAGCTAAGCATCCCATGTGGAGGCGGGGTCGAATACCTCCACCGTAGCCCTCGAGTCGTAGGAGGCGACGAAAAGGGAACTCTTGAATCAGAGAGAGTAAAATATGGTCATGAGTCCCACCGGATTCGGACCCGAGAATGACTGTGCTGGTAAGAACCAGCAACAATTGTAAACGACAGACCTTTCCTCTCGTCAAGGAGAGCCCCCCGCATCAACAAACCCGTAGCTGTCTGGTCTGACAGCAATAAAAATCTGGTCGTAAGCCCCTGATGGGTGCCTTATTCCAAGACAGGCTGGCCGACTGACCCTCGGTCGTAACATAAGACTCAGACTCAGTCAGCCAAGCAGAGTTAAGCAGAATCCAAGAGACTACAGACCAAGAAGTCAGGAGAAGTCAAGACTTTAGTTTATGTGGTGTCATCGCTGTTCGTAGTTACGAAGTGTTGTACAGTAAGGTTGTGTTACAACTAACTGTAGTTCCGCCCTGTGAATATCCAATAAATCGATTCAACTAATCCGGAACCCATTAATTACTTGTCGCGTTACCAGGGCACGTAACAACATGAATTTCCAAATTAAGACCCAGTTATTGAATGCAATCCATTTACTAATATGCATTTCTAGGTCAAGTGGCAATGTGCTATGTCTCTGAGGTCGTCATGCACGTGGCAAGTTTTCATGCAACACGCCACTGTACAAAGCTGTATCGAACAGGAGACACATCAGCAGAAACTAACGAACACTCGCTTTGTCAGAAGCTTGTGCCGATAAAGTGCTTGATAACAGAGCGCATGTGCGTCACGAGACATGAAAATGATGCCCGGTATGAGCGCGGCCCATGGTTCACTCATCCTCCCACCGAGTTATCTGTGAGCATTCAGAGCTTACTTACTCACTCATGGAGCTGAGCCCTTCTGGAGAAGCCGCCAATTCTGCAGCTACTCAAGAATTTCCCAGCATTTTATGGAACCCGAAGGTTCATTACCGTGTTCACAAGAGCCCTCCACTGGTCCTTATCCTGAGCCAGATCTACCCAATCCATACCATCCTCTCTCTCTCTCTAAGATCCATTCTAATATTGTCCACCCGCCTACGCCTTGATCTTCCCTGTGGTCTCTTACCTTCCGGCTTTCCCATCAATATCCTATACGCATTCCTCGTCTCCCCCATTCGTGCTACATGAGCATTCAGAGCTACTAACCATTTAACTTCTCTTTTATCAATACCATGAAGATAAATCGATTCCACTTTACTCATGAACACAACTTAATTCATTGTAGCGACATGTGAATCCATTGCAAAGGTGACGGCTTGCTGATACACGTATGCGGGGCGACCAGCTGGAACATTCGGTTGCTGAGCAACGGCTCGATAAGCATTGTTCTCACAGCAACGTAGACAGGCATTTCCTGCACAACAGAGATGTCTTTTTCGTGACAACGGATAGCTGAACTGTTGTACTCGGTGTCCCCTATTCGGTACGCCAAGCAAATATAAAGTAGCAGCAGTAGCAGTAGCCAAGTCAGACTTGCCGTGTGGAGGAAGGGTCGAATACCTCCACCGTGACCCTGCGAGTCGTAGGAGGCGACGAAAATGGAAGTCTGAAATCTGAGACAGTAAAATATGTTCGAGAGTCCCAAGGGACTCGACCCAAGAAAGACTGCACTGGCAAGGGCCAGCAGCATATACAAAAGACAGACCCATCTTCTCGTCAGAGAGGGCGCCCCACAAAAAAAAAAAGACCATAACTGTCAAACTAATAAATATCTGGTCATGAGCCCCATATAGGGCTCGACACTGACGCTGATCAGTCTTATCCCTTATTTATTTGGATTATTATAAATGACCATGAACTTTATTTATAATTTATTCTCGGTAATTTTAACTTCAAAATCTTATATTTCGATATTACTGGAACTATATTGTGATCTACAATATCGTATTTCATTGTCTGGGACGTGCAATACGGTGTTTATGTTGAAATTTGTAGATTCTGGGAGGGCCAAGGAGTCCGGAGTTCTGACATTTACGAGTAGTCATAAATTTAGCTCGGGTAGAGGAAACTGGACGCGCGTACAAAAGTCAG